ATCGAGCAGAGGAGCGGGGGAGATCAATCGCTGAGGAGCGGGATTCAGCCGAATTAATCGAAGGAGCGGGATCGAGTCGTTACGTGAAACAATTTGCGGGGAATTAAATGTTTTTTCATTCGCAATAGAGTCTTATTTAGTTGGTTATAACTTTCAAATAAATTTAATTAGGGTGAAATTAATTGAATCATTTGAAATTCAAAATTTTAATATTAAAAAATCGTTTAACCCTTGTTCAGCCCGAGTCTAGCCTGAATCGAATCCGAGTTGAACCTGGGTTGAACCCAGGCTCGTGCCCCACTAATTAAAATAAACATGCATCAATTTTTGTGCTAATTGCTCGCGAGTGAAACCATAGCAATATGGGTGTCCTTTCTGGCTAAAGTAGACGTCTCAGACGCATCGCACCATGCACGATTTTGACTTAAATTGATTTTCAACTTTCATAAACATTTTTCTTCCATCACCTTACCTGATGTATCTACCTCTAATATTGCTGATTCTAACACTATTAATGTTACACTTACATTACATTTAACATTAATAGCATCTACCATAGCAATATGACAGACGTTAAATGTAATGTAAGTGTAACATTAATAGTGTTAGAATCAGGAATATTAGAGGTAGATACATCTGGTAAGGTGACGGAAGAAAGATGTTTATGTTAGCTGAAAAAGAGTTTTGGATTACTTGTTTTGTTGTTTGTGGCACCTGAGTCAATGACCCTTAATGTAGAAGAGAAAAGAAGATAAGTATCATTTTTACCTGACTTAGTAAGGGCAGTGACAGAGGTAGATTTCTTGGATGCTTCCTGGAATTGGATGAATATAACATATTCATCTTCAAAAATCGAGAGTCTGACTTTGAGAGGCTTCATTATTTGTGATCATGTGAGCTGATTGTGATCTAAAATCTTTCAGATTCTTTTTGAGCAATTTCTGACACATTATCTTCGTATGACCAGTTTCATGGTGGTAGTAACAACTTGCATGCGAGCCTTGATTTCCATAATTGCCTTGAGAGCAAGGTTTACTGATATCTGCATATTTCTTGCTAACAACAACACTAGATAGTTATACCAATGAAGTCTGAGAACTTTGAATAGCATGCAACACTCTTGTATAGGTTTTCCTTATAGAAGTAACTCTAGGGTTAGATTAGATTTTTGATTTGATACCTTCATATTGAGATTTGCAGTCAACTATAAAACTCTTAAAAAGTATTTGTTCTTTTTGAGCCTATTGAATCTGAACATTAGTACTCAAGGGCAATAGTGCATTCAGTTCTTCATAAACATATTTAAAGTGCATGTGTTAAGTGATTAATCTGTTGCTTAGCTCGATAGAACTTCTTGTATGCATAAAAATTCAAGAAATATTCTCTCTCAGAACACACAAATGCCAATTCCTTCATCACATTTTTAATAGTCTCAATGAGTAATATGATCGATTGATCAGGTTCGATGGAGTTCTATATTTATATCAAAACTGGGCATCAACTCTCATCCACTCAAAATGATTCAAATCGGTCTCAACCATGGGATTATCAATGAGTTGATTCCCTTGAGAAGTAGTTTTCAAGTAGAGTTTCATAGTTTTTTTTTAATAAAAATAATTGGTGTCATTTAACTTTTCCTTTGTAATTTTAGTCATTGATGAAACCTTTTATAACATATTTTTGTTCAATAACCATGTTTATCACCAATGATGGCTTCCTCAACGTGCTAGTGAATCAAACACCAGAGACGGGCGATTTCGAGCCGTTGGAGACAAATGACTCGATGGACAATTCAATAATCATCGAAGACAAATAAATGCGACGAACACCGTCGCAGAAGATGATCACTCATGATGGTTGATGACACTCAAGACGAAGCATATGAAGATTCAAGAGATGCCCTAATCTTGTCGTAGGATGAAGAGGAAGCTTTAAACATTGCATGTAAAGCCGCACAATTCAAATGAAGCTCAACGACGCATAGAGAGAGTTTATCTTGTGAGTGAAATTCATGAACAAATTCGTATAATCAAAAATCAATGGTGTAAGGGGAATGACAACTTGTTATAGATAATGGCTAGAGAGGGGTGAGTTATATTGGTGAACGATTAAAGGGATTTGATTGATATGATAGCAGCCAATCTAAACATCTCTCTTGAATTTATTAGGAACATTCAGGTTAAACATCATTGTCCTTCATTGACATCTTTTTGAAGTCAATAAATTATTTTTTTAAGAGCTGAAGAGGAGGCTTGATGGATAATATCATCGATGGAGTAATTGTAGAACTAAGATTAATAATTTCTGAAAAATTATTGATACATATGATTTTATTAAGATGAAAAGATAATTTTGATATCTTTATAAAAAGTTTGAAATATGTGGATGAACTATGAGTGTCATTTAACTAAGCAATTTCAAGTGCCTTTGAAAAATCATCATCGAACAGGAGAAATAGAATGTATGCCTAGATGAGTAAAGATCGGGCAGGGACCCTAAATGCATGAGTGAATTAACTTAAAAGGATGAAGATAATAGTAATAGAGGATGGAAAGGAAAAGCGATGATGTGTTTACTCCGCTCACATGTGTGACATTCAAATTTTGTTGCTGCCAAACCTTGGGATCAATGTGCATAGTCTATAGCGATATACTTATTCCAAAATTTTAGTAGGGTACTATAGTAACTTAGATGAACAAATACTTTACTATAGAGAAAATAGGTTAGAGTACATATATACACCTTGAAATATTTTTTTCTTGGACGTAAATATAGCTGGAAAAAACTACATTGTCTTGGCATTCTCATAAAACATTAGTACGAATGTAATAGAAGTTTTGAGATTATTCAACAAACAGGTGAGAATGACAATCATATGGTTGTTGTCTAGAGAATTTAATGATGTTATCATGAGCCAAATGGGAGGGATCAAGATGGGAAGAGTTTATTATGATAACCAATTAGAAAATAAGGCTCTCGATAATAATTGGTAACTAGGTTTATTGAACGCATAGACGTATCGATTATAAAGGATGGCTTTAATAAGGTAAAGGAGTATGAAAGGCCGTGATATCATGTTATATAATGAAATAGAAGAGGAAAGAATGTTAGGGCATTGATAGTAATTGCTAAGGTCAACTGGCGAAGCTAGGGGTTGGAGGGGAGGCAATGCTCAACTAGCAAAGTTATACAAGTCAATTCATTGTATTTCTATAGAACATATTCTAACAATTGGACAATCTCAATGTTGTGATTTGGTTGTCGATGGTGTGAGCAGTGGCACTAGTGGATGGGATAGCGTGTGTGGCAGCATATGTGTAGGTGACACATGAGAAATGGGATATAACATGTAGCTGAATGACACACAAGTTTTAATGCGTAAGCATTAATAATACATGTTAGTGTGACATTGGGGTATGCCAGAGGTGTTGAAGAGAATTATACACGCATGGGTGTTGCCGGGGTGTGACATTACTTTGCGAGTGCGAGCCACACTGACCTTGGGATGTGAAATTTCAGAAGTCCTTGGTTGTGGGGTGAGTGCAATAATAGGTCATATAGGATTAATCAGAGAGTGGCTATGTTTTTCCTGATTTGATATCATGTTGAGAGGAATGGAATTTTTATTTATATTAACTAAATAGGATGCTCTTATAATATGCGAAGAGAGTATAAAATGGAAATAAAAAAAGAAGAATAACTTTTTCAATCAAGAGTATATCAAATCATATTTTCTTAATACAAGTATTTTTCAACAAGTAACCGCTGAATAATTTACCTCATTTTCTTTTCAGAAATAAGAAAACAATATTTCTCTTTCTTCTATTGCTTGCGACAATTGATGTTAGGATACTATCAAGCCACCTAGGGGCAGAAATCTTGGGATTACTGCAAATGATGCATTGCTAAGGTTGGAAATTATGCGGTTGGCAACCTATGGCCTGCTGTTTGGTAGATTTAGTAAACACCTACAATATTGTTTTCTAGAGATTTTATCATCTATTTTTGTAATTTTTAAAGTGCAACTGATTCCATATTGTTTCTTTTCTTTTATTATTTATTTCTTCCTGATGTGAACCATTTTAAAACTCTATAAATATAACCATGTTTTGGCCGAATTGAACATGTAGTGTTCCACCATTCTTTTTTTTTTCTATTTCCCTTCTACTTCTTCTATTCTTTCAGTAATCTACCTAATATATTAATAAGCTCAATGACACCTTGATTACGCCAACCTTGTTGATGGGAAATGCATCTAATGTTCGCTTATATGGATTATATAGGGTTTATTTAATCTCCATCCCAGACAAGTGTCTTTTTAGTCAATTAAATGATAACATGGAATTAGAAATGCAATTAGGATTATACTCTGTATGCTAAATTTTATAACCATGGAAGTTGGTCAAAGAGATAAAATCTTTCATAATAGATGCTTGGTTGTGATGAGCTTAGAGTAGAAACATAGTTATTTGCTAAGTGATCTTTGATGGGATTAGCTGGGAAGTTGAGATAAAATGTCATCTTTATTTTTATGCCTGTAGTAAATGTTTATTATTTCCTAAAAAAGTATTTATTTCTGTTCTAGGCTTTGCGTGGTTTATCCTTACCTTGAAGCTGGTCAAAGAGATAAAATAAGTGATGATAATTTTTGAAACGTGATAAACTAGAATAAAAGTATAGTTACTAGTAAAGTGATCTTGGATGTGGTTAGGTTGGAAGTTGAGATCAATTGTCATCTTCAATTTTTATGCTTGTAGTATTTTTTATGATTTCCTAAAGCTTTTCTTGGAGATAAAATTAAATTTTCTAACCATGAAAGGTGCTCAAAGTGATAAAATCAGTTGTTATAATTTCTTGATTGTGATGGACTCAAGTATGGTTATTTGTTAATTGATCTTTGATGTGTTTGGGCTTTGAAGTTGAGATAAATTGTCATCTTCATTTCTTGTACTTGTGGTACTGTTTATTACTTCGTAAAGAACTATTTATTCCTGTTTCAGGCTTTGTGTGGTTCATCCTTACCTTGAAGAAAAAGATGTACAAGTATCAATTTAGCCAATATGCATGGACGCATATGATTCTTCTTATGGTGTTCGCACAATCATCTTTCACTGTAGCAAATATATTCGATGGGATATTATGGTAAATAATCCTTCTGAATGGTGTTCATTCGAGCTGCTGATATATATGGTCTGAAATCTATATTTGCTTTTCCATGCAAACTTATTTGTGGAAGGAATATCTTGCCATTATATCAAAACGTCAGCATCATTAGCACAAATTTCTCTTGCTTATTCAGGAAGACTTTTTTGTTTATATAAAAATGTGCTTAGAAAATGCATTTTTTATTTGACTTCATGTGCATATAAATTGGCTTGAAGTTGCATGTTATTCTAATGAGAATATGACAGTTATGCTATCCCAAATGAAACGTTTTGCATGTTTTATGCTTTTGTATTCATCAACTTCGTTAATATTGGGAGGAATTTGTTATTTTTCCTTCATTGGTTGGAGAATTTATTAAGATCTTAATTAAATTAATTTACTTGAAGGCATATCTTTAAAACTTTAGCTCACTGAATGCTCCCAACACCAACTCACACTCACACAGAAATACTAGTGGTCGCTTTTTGCAGTGGTAATTTTATTAGTTATCAATGGCTTTGATTAAACTCGTAAACATAGGATCAGCATGTTGAATGAGTTTAAAATTTTTGGTTTCTTTCTAGGTTTGAAATTCTACCTTTTTCTGCTTAAATAAATGTGATAGACTGTTTGATTTGATTTGTTTGGTCTTGTTTCAAGTTCATTTGCTTATAATTAGGATACTAATTAATATTCTTGAGATTACAAAACACCATTGAGATTATATTGAATACACAATTTTGGTGAGTGAATTCTTGGTTTGAACTTGGTAAGTGACCAGTTTACATTTGCTAAAGAAATGTTTATTTGAATTTATTTTCATTGGTTTTATTGGCATATTCGGTAGGATCCTTGATATTGGAGGGTGATTATGTCAGGGTCTTGTTAACATTTCTGCAGGATCCCTTGTCTTAGAATGTAATTATATTATGGGGATCTGTTTTATATCCTTTTAATTAGGGTTATTATTCTTTTATTTATATTTTGTTGTATCATCTTCTATGTTGATTTTTAGGCTCAATATATTCAATAAATAATAATAAGAATTCATATCGGAGTGGTGTTTGTCAGCCACAGTGGTATATTGTTAGCCAACCACGCGCAACATACTTTCCACTCTCTCACATGTTGCTTGTGTTACTCTGCTTGCATGCTCGTAATGCCTGCTTTAATTGTGGCAACAATGTCATGCACACTATTTCATTCGCTGTTGACTCCTAATTATCTTTCACCCTTCTCGATGATTTTCAGTCCTTGATTTAAACTCTTTTTTTTTATCATTTTCTATTTTCTTGGGTATGTCTTTCATTCTTTTATCGGTTCTTATGATTAAGTTTCTCATCTTGATGCATCTCCTTTGGCTCATGATGATATTGTAAATTTCTCTAAATGCAAAGCATTTTTTTCCTCATTCTAACTTGGTTGTTGACTAGTCACATTTTCCATATTGCTTTCAGTCATGCTTTGATGAGATTGTTAACATAATTTGTGATCTTCTTTGCTCTATTTATTTTCAATAAAATAATATATTTATGATATTTACTTTGATTTATTCTTCCTTGTTTATGATCCGATTTAACGTTAAGTTTAGTACGCTTTCCCGTAGAAATTAAGACAAATGCAAATTTTTATTGAAATAATCCAAACAGCTTACACGAATAAAAACGATAAGCACCTACAATTTGACAGGAAGACGATCTCTCCTAATTCCTACAATTTGAGATGCACGAAATCTCTCCCAAACCTTAAAACTAAAACTTACGACTCAAGCTCATGCATAAACCTAACCCTAGACATAACAAACCAATTTATACTCAACAACATCAATAGTAAAAGACAAATCTGCTCTTAGTCGTACAAAAGACAAATTTGCTCTTAGGCTAGGTACCACCTTAACAATACACGCTGTCTCTATTTCTCATTCTTTGTCTTTTCGTTATGCACTATGAGAATTTGTAATTTTTTATCCTTGCAACAGTGACTTGGGCTAAACTTTTTGTTACACCAAAAATATAACCCATTGGCTCGCTTCCCAGAATCTCCCTCTGTAAGACGCTTGAGTGTTGTTCTCGGTCGTGGTCTATTATTCATGTCCGGTGCAGCCTTCGTTTGGATTTCCATTGTTTGAGATTTTCGTATCGTCGTGGTTGTAGCAGTTCAGTACCACTTCCATCTGTCTTGCTGTTGCTGACCTTCTTCATCTGATTCTTTTTCTCCACCATTTGAGCTAAGCTCCATCATCTCTCTCATTCTTCGCGGTCTCAATAGTCGTAGTGATGCCCGTATGTCGAGTTTTTGTCCTTTCATGAAATTTTCCTCCAATCCTATCTCAGAAATTCCGACAACCTTCTATATTCCGTGACAGTCAGCTCCCGAGTTAAGGCATAGAATTGCTCGTGTAAGTCTCATTCTCAGATTGCTCTTAAATGTTCCAACAAGCAATCCTTAAATTCTTCTCACTTTTGGATCAGATATCCAACCTCCCTCCACTGAAACAAGGCTAGAGCATTCCTCTTTAAACATAACCCCGCCGACATGAGATTTTCCTCCCCATCTAGCCCATTCACCGTGAAGTTTCGCTTCGCCCGATACACTCACCCATGTGCGTCCTCCCCCTCAAAGATCGACATCTTCAACTTCCTAACGCTAACATTTTCACGCCAACTTCCTCTTCCTCCGTCTGCGAGGTCTTGGATTACATCTCAATGAGCTTCTTTAGCTTCTCTCGATTTTCCCCTATGTTCTCTCGTCAGTCCTCCAGCTGGTTCTCCACAGGAGAGACTATATCCTCTATATTTGCAAACCTTTCTTCCATCCCATATATGATTTTACTCATCTCTTCCTCTAGTTTCTCCAAATCATATACTTTCTTGGCTGCCATTCCTTCCTATCGTTTTTGAAACCTGTATATCACGATCTCGTTGTTGGTTTAAATTGAGACTTTAACAATTGGTCCGAATCTCAAGGCTTCCCCAACAAGCTTAACTCATCAGTCTTCAGAGGAGACGGAAAGTCCGCCATCGCCTTCCCAACAAACTCTTGTCGCGACTGTATTGTTGCAATCACCCTCATGTTTGCCGTCAGACTAGGTCAAGGTGTTTCTTGTGTGCTGCGATCCCGTCGTCCTTCCTTGCAAACACCAAACACAATTGCCTTCTCGAGGACGGAGCGGGAGGAAGAGATTGAAGGAAGTTTATGGTCTCTATAAGCCTCGATTTCGGGTCGTTTGCCACACGACCGTGCGCGCAGGAGGAGGCGAAAGAAGGGAGCTTCGGGTCTCTGTTTGCCGCGATCCTTCGCTGCAATTCTTCATGGAAACTCTTTCACAGCCAGCTCTGACCCTCTACGATTCAGTTGTCTCTTTCCCAGCACGCTCGGAGCTGGACTGTATCACAGGTTTTGGTGACGATGGAGTTTTAGATCTCGGTAAGCGACGATCCTTCACGTAGAAGCCGTCTCAGTGCACTGCAATCCGATGGCTTCCCTGCTAGCAATTTTATGCGGAATTCGGTCACGAAGGGATCCCATCAACGCTTCTTAGCTATTTCTAACGTTGACAATGAATGCTTCTCACGCTGACAACAGTTCCGTGATGATCTTCCCCAAAATTGTGCTCTGATACCAATTTGATCAGATTCAACATCAAGGTCGGCACACTTTTTCATAGAAATTAGGGCAAACATAATTTTTTATTGCAATATTCCAAACAACTCACACGAATACAAACGATAAGCACCTACAATTCCAGATGTAGGCGATCTCTCTCAATTTTTACAATTTGAGAATTAATAAATCTCTTCCAAATCCTAAACCTAAGACTCACCTCTCAATCTCATGCATAAACCTAATCTTAGGGATTATAAGCCTATTTATACCCAACAATAATAATAATAAAAGACTAAATTGCCCTTAAATTTACTCTTAGGCTAGGCGCCAACATAACAGGTTACTGGGGTAAGTTGGATGAATTACTTCACCACGCATTATTTACCACTAATCTTACGGTTTACAACTAAAAACGCACTCAATTTTGTGTATAAATACCTACTGAAAGATTGAACAATCCATATTTTTCTAGCCATTTCTTTTATACACGTCATTTAGTTGCTTTCCCTCCTGTGTCACATCAGTTACTACTTAGTTGTTGTTTACTATCAAATTTACATTTTAATTCAATAGCCATAAAGCATGGTTATCAAAGGGTTCATCTAAATCCATGAGAAAACTATATTTATACCTCCCAAGTTGCATTCCTAAACTTCATTTATTTATTTTTTTTTGTTTTTTTGGTTTGTGGTGATTTGGGCTATATTATAACCAGATGATAGTAACTCCTGTCTCTTCTTGCTAGCAGCTACTTATATCGAGCAACCTATTGGGTATGCTGCTTAGGGGAAAGACTATCTATGGCCTTAAATAGCGTCTGCGAGACTTGTTTGACATACTTTATAAACTCCGTCACATTAACAAGTTATGCTACTGTATTTATCTATCATGTTTGTGCAAGCTACATTATACTAGTTATATAGGTTGACATTATCTTACTCATTGGAAGCAACCATAATGACATCTTTGTGGTAAAACAATACTTGCAAAGGCTCTTTTTTATCAAAAGAGCTGGGATGATTCATTTACTTTCCTGTGATTGAGTTTGCTTATGATAAAAAAGATGCATGGCTTTCCCAAATAAAATATGTTAATGATTTTCTTTATATAACAAGCCTTTTGTTTGTAATTAGTCAACACCCTTATGGAGACTCAAAACCATGCCTAATGATGAACCTGTTGATGATCCATCTCAATAGCTAATATTTGGTAATAAGTTGATTTATCATTATGGCATTCATCTTTGTAGTGGTCAGTTTATACTTTCAAAATCTATAAAAAAAAACATTATTAATTTTTCTTAATAAATTTTCAAATATATAAAAAATCTTTAAGAAAAGGGTTGTTATAAACTTGAATAACAGCTGAATATTGAAGTATTCTTTGATGTTATTAACATTCTCTGAAGTGTTTAAACTATGCTATGAGCATTCTCTAATCAATATTTTGTAGACTTAAATATGCCTTCAGAGAATTTCCATAATTTTCATTTCCGGAAAACTTGATGGCATTTAATAAACACCAAATGTTTGAATTTGTTTTTCTTTTCGTCGGGAGAATTAAAGTTCTAAAATACTGAAAATTTTGAGAAAGCCCATGCTTACAGATTTACTTGCCTTTGATGTACTTCTGAACTTGTTTCTACCAGATGATGAAAGCACAATAAACATATATGGACATGCACAAACAAATATTTAGGATCATTTGGAAGGTGGCTGTATTAGGGAGATATATTTTGATATCCTCATAACTATGGGTATATTTCTTTTTTGTTTGTTTTTTAATTTCATCCTTCCATCCTGATGTTTGTTAATTTGTTGGCCCAACATATTCAATGAATAAAATATAAATTTTCTCTTATTTCCACATCTTCCTATATAAAATGATGGGGTTATGGTCCCCGGACTAATTCAAATGTGGCCAATTTGGCCCCAAAGTCTTGTAGTGCTATAACTTAGTCACCCGAGTATTAAAAATTGTTCCCAATTGACTCCGTAAGGATTAAATTAAGACCAATTTTATACGCACGAGGGATTAAAATAAACAAATTTTTTATCATGATTCTATATGGGCTAATTGAGATAAATTTTTGATAGTCGGATGACGAAATTGGAACGCTGCAAAATTTTGTGACTAATTGGCCACATTAGAGTTATCACAGGATTATTCTGAGATTTAATCCTAAAATAAAGTTTCATTTTGAAGTTAGAATCAGTACAAAGTATGATGCTGTTCTAAGTAGATCTTTAACTCTCCCAATAAAATGAAACAAATTTCAAACAATTTTGTTTATTTTATGTCATCAGGGGGGTGTTTGGTAGCTGGATTTGAAAGTGAAATATTTAACTTAAATCCAGCCAAATAAAAAAAAAATCCGCGAATTTAAATTTGAATATCATTAAATCAAAAAATTCTTCCTTTCCATTAGTTTTTTAACGTAAATTGGATTTGTTAAATCCAATTATTCTGTGGATTTAATAGAATTAACTTGGGAAGAAAATCAAAGGGGTTGATTTTTGTCAAACACGATAAACAACTTTAATGGATTTAGCCTTAAATTGAACCAAACATTATAATGAATTTATAACATTTGGATTTAATAAATCTGGATTTACCGGATTTACTAAATCCTAATTATCTTATATCCTTGTTGGAGCCAAACACCTCAGTTTTCCAAGAATCTTGAAATTTTCGCTTTATCCATATTCAACTTTGCAATTTATTAATTGTTTAATTGGCATGTTCGTGTGGTGATTGGCTTCCATTTTTATTTGAAAATTTTGCATTTCACATTAGTTTTATTTTCCTAGCTATCTTCCAAAATAGGTTCTTTAATTTCTGATTGCTACGAATATACTGTTTTGCATGTTATGCAGTTTTTGGTTTATTTAGCAGCAATTATAATTTTGTTTCTGTTCTATCCTTTGAGGATTTTTGCATTGAACATGTATAAGCATCCCATAGATTTTATATATTTTGCATGCATGCAGAAGAATTTATATGCTGCTTGTTGAAGTTTTATTAGATTAAGCACACCTCGCCAACAAGTTTTAGAAATTTTTTCAAAATTACATAATGACATAAATTAATTTTATTCCATTGATAAAAAAGATGTCCAAACTAACAATATATCCTAATAGTTATGAATCTGGTTATTGCTATTTTGGGCGTGGTTATTAAAAGAATATATCTAGTTACATAACAGTTAGTGTAAGGCTTAGTTAATCGTTGTTTGTTTTATTTTTTTAATTTGATAAACTCGGAATTGATTCAACAATACCTTGGTATGGAAAGTAGTCTTTTTTACCTGAGATTAGACAACTAAGTTGATTAAAATAAGAATATGTAATGAATATTATCCAATTTATTAATAAATAATAGAGAAATCAATAATGGTTGTTTGCATCCTAGGAGTTTATGTGAGCATGTCCCCGATCCAGTCCAGGAGTTGGGATCGGCCGACCGACCTCCGAACCCTCGGGTGTGCCTCCAAGGGAGTGGGTCCACACCCAATTATTCTAGTGTTATATATTTGCTTTTGTGATATTTTAGGGTTAGTTTTTCGTTGTGTATGTTTCGGCAGAGCTGTCGACGGCTTCTTTTTCCTTCTAAGGCTGTATCCAAGGGTTTTGAGTGGTGTTCCGACTGTATCTCATTCTCGAGGTGACGTTTATCCTTCAGATAACATTGACCATCGCTTTCCCACACCAAATTCCTTTCCGTCGCTGCTTCACTGGAGTTGCTGCCGCCCCAAACTTCCTGCATCTTCATTGTCATCCCTCACGACCTCCCTTTTCTTGCTACTGCCGCCAAGGATAGCAAACCTTTGCTGCTTCTGTTGTTTCCACCCCCATTTCTCTTGCTGTCGCCACACATGACAGCAAGTCTATTTGCTCATCCGACAGATCCTCACCTCCCCTTGCTACTGCCATGAGCCCCTTGCTGCTACCTCACATTCCAACCCACTAACCTTCCCTTTGCTACCCCTTCAAAGCCCCAACCCCTAGCCGACACCACTTACACACTAGATTCAACCCTATGGCTAGTATTGTGTTGTTTGTTGTGTTTTGGATGTTCACATTGTGTTGTTGTAATTTCCTATTTGAATTCAACAATGATATTTGTTTCCCCTTGATTGTGTGATGAATTTTGACATTTGGTATTAGAGACAAGTGCTGGAAATCAAATGCCCTCCAATCTTGGGAGATTACAATAGCTCCGTCATTTGGTCTACATGACGCCATACCATGAGTCAGAAGCTTCGATAGATGAGGTCCAAGCTCCAACAATCCTGTTAGATTGATGTGGGGTGGGCAGGGACCCTAGATCGGTTTGGTCCGAGTGTCATAGGGTCGGTTGGCTCTCTCTCTAGGGCTAGGGGTGCCACCCACTCCTAATAGAAGCAAGAGTATTTTGCGTCTCTTTGTTTTTTTTAGGTTCAAGTCTTTTGTTGATTATAAATATGTGGTCGTTTATTGTATTATTAATATTATTATTTGTTCATTTGAGATCTGTGAGGGCCTTTGCTCCCTTTGTGGTTCTGGGATGGGAACAAGTCCATATGCTCGGTGTTTGGTGGTGGCAACTATATCCCTCCATTGTTGGTAGTGACACCTTGGGTCTCCTTCCTCCATCAATCCTTTAGGTGGTGATTCCTCTGTCCCGATTGGTGCGATAGTAGGAAACTCTAGTACCTTGTATCTTTTATTTGATTAGTGCATCTCGTCTTTGTTATGGCCTTTTTTTTTTCTTTTCTCATATTGCTTTCTTGATTTTCTTGCCGCATCCCGACTTCATTAATCTTCCACCACTGCATATGAATTTGAATGCAATGTTGAACTTGAAAATGATATTTAATATGTAATGTTTTTTGTATTTAATGGAAATGAGTTCAGCATTTGTTTGTAGAGTTGGAAAATGCTTTTGAGTCTCAGGCTTTTAACCCCAACGCCACACACACTGACCACACAGAGAAAATTAACCCTACCAGAGAAGACTATGAGAATCTCCTTTTGTTTTTCATTGATTAGATGAACAAGGGCATGCCCATGAGTGGTTCCTATTGCCTAATAATTTCCTTGTTGAATACTGTAATTTTTACTGAAGTTGGATTTATGCAGGTTTCTTTTACCAGCCTCTCTTATTATCATCAATGACATTGCTGCATATTTCTTTGGATTCTTCTTTGGGAGAACACCATTGATTAAACTCTCTCCGAAAAAAACTTGGGAAGGCTTCATTGGTGCGTCAGTGACAACTATTTTCTCTGCATTTTTGGTAAGAATTGCTTGCTCATTCTTATTTACATAGCCCCATCTTCTTCTTTTGTTTTTTCGCTCAGTAATATGAAGCTAATTTAGCTCAATACATGGTCTACACGCCAGTCCTTGATCAATTAAGCATTTGATTCATGTGTTTTTAGGCATTCATCAACGCATTTCATTTGTTTCTTCGCTATTTATTATCAAATGGGAGGATTGAGAACGTGGCTAAGATTTAGGGGAAGTTATAGCTTAAGGCCTTTTGATGGTATTTATTTTTATGCCAAGTATAACTTTATTGTACGCTTCATATGAGTTTCCTGAATTTTCTCTCACTATCTACGAATCACCTCTTTTTCTGAATCTGGTTCTGCTCTGTTATTTATGGTTATTATTATATGCATTGTAATAACCCCATTTCATTAAACAGTAATCAGGTTTAGAAAATTCGCCAGATGTTTGGTAACGACTAGATTTTATTCTTCTAAATTCATATGTTAAATAGCCAAATTGACTGAAAAGGAAAAAAAAGAAAGAAAATGACAGGACAAAAATGTAAATTTCCATTCTAGAAAATACAAACATGCATAATTTCAGAATGAAAATACTAAAAATATAATGTAATTAAACTCTCGTGTTTGGAGCAATTTGTCTGGATTTGTTGTTCTATATACATTATTTGGATGGTGGTAATCTACATTTTGCGTTTAAATTATGCAGAAAAAACTGCTGAAGGGTTCAATTTCATTTTTCGGTCAAAGAATTGTCTTATGGAGTAGCAAAGCATAGTAATCATTTGCAGTTGGGATCAAAGAAATTAGATGCAATAAAGTTTGAACCATTCCAAGAAATATTAACAAGATAATTTACTTGCATGATATTTTAAGTCTAAATTTTGTCAGAGTTTTGGATGATGAACTAACCAATTATGTTCATGTCTTACCTCATCTGCATTGACATTAAAGAAATTATCAATAAATATCTTTCAATAGTTTAAATGAATTCAATTGTTAAAATATTCAGCCTGACACGTATGAAATATTGATTGTATTTGACAGTATAATTAATGTAACTGGAAAGGAGTGAGGGATCACAAAAATATCTTGTCCTACTTTGGCTTGGTTTCTGACTGACATTTAATTATTTAAGCTCGCCATTTTGGCATGTAGGAGGAACTTGCTTGTTCTAAAAGATTTTCTGGTGCTGTATTTAGTTATGCTAGCCGGCAAATGGACTCGGATTAATTGCTAGTAACCTATGGCTTAATTTTAGGGAAATTTACAGACGTAGCACACGATTCTTATATATTTACACATCTCACACCTAAACATTCATATTTTCATACATAATATTTTGATGCTTTAAACGTAAGCATGGAAATTATATTTCACTTTTTAAAAAGTGATAATTGTTCTATTTTTTATAAGATAATAGAGATTTGAGTGTTATGTGTGTAAATATTAAAGTTAAAGAATCGCGTGCCAAGTATGTAAACGCTCGTCATTTCTCTGTAATATACTGCAACCAATGTCTACTCCATGCATAGCTAAAAGAACTTCAGGTTTATTTTGATTTCTATAGATCTATCAACTAGCCGACATGAGAACTCCTGTGATTGTGATTCATACGTTCGAGAAAAGGAACCTCAAATATGAAATAGTATGATGAATGGATCTCTCTAATTGACGAAACAACATCAAACTGAGGAATAGTAGCTTCTAAAGTGTACCATTTCCATGCAATTTCATCTTTTTTTAATTGTCCACAGGGATAATAAGCCCAATACCAAGTCATTTGCTACTTACAAACTAGTTGTAGATGGTAAATGAAGTACGATAAGAAAATAAACGGACATTAGTAATATACTTGATACTTTTTATAAGGTGAAATTAAATGTTCATTTATATTAAGTCATTCTAATATGATTTTCATTGGTAATTCTGACTTTTGGTTCCGTTGGATTTGCTTAATATGCTGGCTTGTTGAGCACATCGGCGGAACACCGAAAAAATGCAGGTGATTTTTGTTTGGTCGACCATTTGTCAACTTTTTGAAAATTGAAAATAATATTCTAAATTTAATTTAAATATAAGAGGAATATATATATATATATATATATATATTTGAAAGTAACGTGTTTTAATTTTTGAAAAATGAGACCAAATAGATCTCATTCGTTCGATAGTTTGTATAATCGTGTCCGATACCATGAATACTACACATTTTTGAAATATGAGTGTATATCCCGGTAATAGACACAATTCTGCAAACTAAGAGATTTGTGACTTCCGTTTGGTCTGTGAACTTTTATGTGTGACCGACAAGTTCTTCTATCTAATACAAAGATTAAATCGGGTTTATTGTACCTAAGTTCCAAGTTCCCTATAGAGTCAATCCCCTATGGTTAATTATATCCCAAATTACTGAGGTCAATTGAGAAAACTCTCCATAATGATGAGGTAATAGTATTCAAGATTTCAAGGTTTAAGTTTTCATAGTAGGATGTGGAAAAGAACAAGTGAGAGTGACTCAAATAGGAATAATTATTTTCAAGAGTCCAAAAAAAGGAAAAGGTAGGGAATGCCATAGATCCTGAGGAGGGACCTCAGTAACTTCCCAAACTATCCTAATGTGTGGTTGAGTTTTGGAGACGATGTTATTTAGGTGTTTAATCTTGTCAATTTTATTATTTAAGTCTTACGTTTGCATAATATTCGATTGTGCAAATAGTCTGCAGAGATGAAAGAGTTTACGTCGTATCACACGACAACCTCAGAACTTAAGGTGAGTTAGGACTTACGCTGCATAACATGGTTGTGTAAGGGCCTAAAGAGGGTATGAGGGTTTACGTCACGCTGTGCGAGCTATCTCGAAATCCTATGAGTTTTATTTAGACTAAGAGAGAGATATTGTTGAAGAAGATCCTCTTGTTGCTCGATCCAAGCTCCTTGCCGTGCTGCCCACAAAGCTGGCTTCAAGCTCATCGTCGAAGTAACAGTCCTAAATTCTAAGGTTCAAAAGGTTTTCAAAATTTTGGTTTTGTTGTCATTCAAGCATTATGGGGGGGGGTTAAAGTTGATTGGAGTGACACCGGTTATGATCACACGGTTCTTTCTTTCCGGTATTATTTTCTTTTGAATTTTTTTAATTTAAACGAGTTGTTAAGCTCATTTAAATTTGAGAGATCTCGTTCGCAACCGTAGGTTACCTTATCCGACGGACTCCCGTAAATTTAAAAGTACATGTTATGTTTTTTTTTTTTTTGAAATTGTTATTTAATTTTAAAAAAAATGTTTTGTTTTGAAAATGAAATCGCAACCAGATCTGCATGATACATTAAAGCAATAGTAAATTGCAGTGATAAAATAATAATAAATAAAATGCACTTGCGTACCTGGCGTATCTGCTACTGCTGTCTCTGCTGTGTGTTTAGCTCACGAAACATAACACAATTTGCAGTGAATTTAAATAAATTGTAGAGAAAAAAAAGAAGAAAACAGTAATTCTAGTGTAAAAAGTAACAAAACAAGTCGCAATAACAATGAAGAACTCCAAACAGGTGATCCTAAGGCTTGTTACAACTCCAGACAACAGCTAGGAACTCCCAACGGTGATCCTAAGACTTTCTACGACTCCGGACAGCAACTAGCAAGCCTGTACGGTGATCCTACAACCTCTTACAGCTCCGGGCAGCAACTTGCAAGCTTGTACGGTGATTCTACGACCTCCTACGGCTCCGGTCAGCGACTAGAAATCTTGTATAATGATCCTACGACCTCCTACGACTCCAGGAAATGACTAACAAGCTTGTATGGTGATCCTATGACTTCCGGGCAGCATCTAGGAACTCTAGACAGTGGCCCTACGACTTCCTACAACTCTGGGCAGCAGCTAGCAAGCTCACACGGCCCCAACACAACCCAAGACAAGGTGCATTTAAAGGCTCCAAAACTGCAGCGAAACCAGTCTCAAAACATTTCCAAACAAGGTGCGTTTTAAAGGCTCCAAACCGCAAGTATAACAACCCCTAAAGAAGTGAATAAATTCTAAGCATGAAAAGATGTCCTTCATGTTATGAAACAGAGGTGCTTTTTTTGTAAAATTATGGATTTGGGTGATGTAGATGTAAGGTTTAAGTTTTGGACATGCAGAAAATATAAGAATTGTGTGGCATGCATGCAAACTTTTCTCAAGTCTAAATTGCAAAACAACGCAAAGTTGGCAACAACTTCCCAATTCCAAAAATCATAAAGCAATGTATAGCTAGCTGCATTGTTTCTCAAAATATCCGAATTATGAAGCAAATAAAAGAAAATTAATTGATGTTTCCCAAATAAGCATAAACTAATTATAACCTTTAACAATTGGATACAATTTGAAGCAAATGCTCAATTAATTGTTCAATCCTTTCAAAGCAATTTTATGCATGTAATTGCGAGGTAAGAGTGCATTCAACAATTAAAAATGAATCCAACGACTGAATGCTTAGCTCAGCCGTAGACTCCAACTTCAGCAAATTGTGGGTAGATTTGGTGTTTACATTCATCCAGGATTTTCTTTGTTAACGTTCTTTTCAGCTTTGCATAAGATAATCATGAATAACAATTTTGATGAATAACAATTTTGTATAACAATAATCATGAATAACAATTTTGTATAACAACTTTTTACACACAAAATAATTCCTTATTCATGATTATGTTAAACTGTGAATAGCTCACATAGCAAGAAATTCTCTAACTGTGATAATCACGTTTTAATCTATCCTCTTTTCTTTCTAAAAAAAGTCCACATTCAAGATTCAAAGGTAAGGGAAGCTCATAAAACTAATCAAAGCAATTAGTATAAGACTGATGGTGATGATGAGTTTAATCTGTATGAAGGAATATCTTAAACAATCAACTGATTATTAGATTCGGGATAAGACTTACCATCAAGTGACATAAATCTGGGATTGCAGTAGAGGATGTCAGAAAAGCTTATGCGTGAGGAGGCGAGTGTGAGGGTGCTTCAGTTGATAATGGGGAGCCGAGGGAGGTGAGCAGGAGTTTCAATCGAGGGAGGGAGTTGAGCGAGGGTTTCTGGAAAGGGAGTTGGGTGGTTTCGGTGCTGAGAGAATGGAGGCGGGATCGAGAGAGGAGCTATCGAGCGGGAGAGAGGAGCGCGGTTCACAAAGGGAGATCATGATCGAGCGGAAGGGTTGAATCTGTCAGGCGAAGAAGTAGCGAGCGGGACTCGGTCGTGCTCGAGGAGGAAGTCGAGCGGGAGAGAGGAGCTGTCGAGCAGGAGAAAGGAGCTGTAGAGCGCAGAGGGAGAGCGAGATCAAGTGGAGGAGCATGCGCGAGAGGAGAAGGGAGCAGGGGAGGTCGAATCGGAAGAAAGCGAGCGGGGAATTGAATAGTTTTCATAGGCAGAGGAGTTTTATTTGGCTGGTAATAAATTTCAAATGAATTTAATTAGGGTGAAATTAAATGACTCATTTGAAATTTCAAAATTTAAAATTCAAAATTGTTTAACTCTTGTTCAGCCCTATTCAAATCCGAGTTAAACCTGGGTTGAGCCCAGGCCCACGCCCCGCTAATTAAAAAAGCATGCATCGATTTTCGTGCTAATTGTTCGCGCGCAGAATCATAACAATATGGGTGTTCTTCGTAGCTAAAGTAGACGTTCCAGACGCATCTGTGTGGTCAGTTTCGTCATCTGAGGTCGTCCGGATGAGTTCGCCGACGTGCAAGTCAATTCAAGTCAAATGGTGCGATGCGTGCACAAAATGCGGCGTTAGTGAGAATTCGAGTCGCAAGAGGTTTCCCTAGGGGCTGCTCCTATTCATATAGGAATTCAAATCTAGTTTCATATGTCGGTTCTACCAACTCAGCAAAATGCCGAGAATTTGAGACCGCCCATGCGAGACTCGAAGGAGCGACGAGGTGGCTCGTGTTTTCTAAATGGTGTGGGTCCGGTACTAGTCCTCTATGAGGGTCAGACAAGGGAAGCCTAAAGCTAGACCCTAGGCTCTAAGGAGAGAAGTGAAGACATCACCCGAAAATGAGGTCAACGCCACTAAATTGCAAGAGATGGTTTAAATAACAATCTATGCTACGTGAGTTATTTTCATTATTTAAAGTGATCACCACTATTTTGACCCGGTTTTAACCAAATAAGATTGAGTTTAGTGCGACGATTAGGTTGTCTGATTGCATGATTGCCTTGATAGTGATATGTTATTAAAACAAATCACAGAAACCTCTCAGTTATCGAAACAAATTTTGTGCAATCCTAATTGTAAACTTCTGTTTGGCTAAATCCATTGAATAAATGTTTTTTGAGAGCTACAAATAAATTTGTTCTCCAAAAATAATCATGAATCGGAACCTATTTTTCATCAACATTGCAGCTTTCTTCTTAGAATGGTCAGCTTCCATTTCCACAAGGGATACTTGGTAGCTTTTCAACTTGCATTTATATGAATAAATGTTTCTTGAGAGCTACAAATAAATTTGGCCTCCAAAAATATAATGAATTTGAGCCTTTTTTTATGAACATTACAGCCTATTTCTTAGAATAGTAAGCTTCCTTTCCCATAAGGAATGAATGCTCGCTTTTTTCACTTGCATTTCCATTTCATGCATAGCATTGGAGGACATTCTAACCGATCTCTAATAGTTGGGATGTGTTTAATGATGATGATGATGATAACATGAAGATGGACAATTGCAGTCAACATCTTAGGGCTCCCTTTTTGGTGCATCTATTTTATTCAAATATTGGAAGCTGTTGTATTTTATTTTTCTTTTTTTATTTATGCAGTTGGCGAATATTTTTGGCCGCTTTCGATGGTTAACATGCCCAAGAAAGGTAAATATTTAGTTCAAGAAATTCATCATGCTCAATTCAATATGACTCCATCTGATTTTTCTGGGTACCTGATTATTTAGTTCTTATGTTTGAATTTCTTTCAGGACTTGTCTACAGGATGGCTTTCATGTGATCCTGGTCCTATGTTTAAGCATGAAATTTATTCCTTGCCCCAATGGGTACCTCAATGGGTAAAAATCCAATCAAATAATATGAGATTGTTTTCATTTTGCACTCTTTTATTGCTGAACTGTTATAATTTCCTTCTGTTATTTATGCTTCAAGCACATAAAGTTAATAGCTCGATGTTTGGTTTAGTTAACAAGTGTTATCTTTTGTGAATACATAATTTTTGGATGAATGCTATTGTGCATTTTATGTTTCCTCACCATAAATTTTGTAGAGAAATATGGGAAGAAGGTAGGTATTGAGGGATGGAGGAATCACTAGCATACTTAAATTCTCTAGCATCACTTTGCAGCAGATTAAAAGTGTGTTTGGGATAGTTGTGACAATGTGAAATCTGAGTTCTAAAATTATTGTGGAAAATCTGCTGTTTAAAAGTGGCGTTGTTGAAACAGTACTTTAGTTTGAAAATTTTTGTTTTGAAAGCGTTGTATTACACTCTTTTGTTCATATTATATAGAATTCATATATTTAATAGATATTTGTAATTCACATATTTAATCATGCTTTATGAAATCTTAAAGATACAATAACTTTAAATCATTCATATCATAATACATTAAACAAAATGATCAAATATTTTTTGATAATTTGTTAACTTCAGTTACATTACATAACTCATTCATAAAATCATGAATATAATATTGAACTAGTCATTAACTAAAACACCGGTATTTGCTCTCGTAACTTAACTATCTCATCAACATATTCTCCATCGTTTATCCAAAAGTTAGACAATATCATTTTTAATATCCATCATCGATTGCCCCAATCGATACTCATATGCTTTAGAAGATACTGATTTATTTTCATCTACACTTGTAAAGTCAATGCCAGAATACGATGATGACATCGTATGCAATTATGTAGTGCTAATTTTAACCTTTTTTTTTGAAAAAATAAGTAGGCATCTCATAGAATGACCTACTTTTTCTTCCCAATCTCTTTTCATCGATACCGCATAATGATGAGTGACTCTTTATAGAAATTTCTTTTCTTTCACGCACAATTTAGCTAGCTCTTTCAAAGTCCGGAATATGATATTTTGTGGTGAAAAATAATTTAAGAAATTTTCATTGTAATGAATACCGAGGATCTACAAAATAATATTTTTCTGTTAGAATAATTAGTATAAACATTTCACTTTAAGTCCTTTGTATTTACAGTCATTCTATCAGTCCAAATAAATCACAAAAGAAAAATAGTGTGGTATTTTTGTTAATACTAGTAAACCATCATTAATTTAAATCAAAGTTAGATTTGAACAAAAAAATCTATCCAATCTCATTAATTTAAAAACTTTCAAGGTAATTTCTTATTATAACATCCATGCATACACTCACGCATAGATAGTTTTTTATATATCAATACATTTACACATCTACATTTATTCAAAGTTGAATTCATAAATTTATGTGTATATGCATTTATAAAAAAGATATTTATAATTGCAAAAAGAAAGGGCTTTGGCTCACAAACAAATTAAAAAGTCATATTGTTTTGATCTAGAAAGCAAAGAATATATTTCAATTTATTTATAACTTAATTCTTTACAAATTAAATAAATTGCTACAACAACAGAATAAGTATAAAGTGCAATCTTTAACCCAAAAAAGAAGAAGAAACTATTGATGCTAATGCAACACTCCAGGGAGTTATCCTATATCAATATATCACACACAATGTGCTATTTTCCAAGTCTAATTTTTCTTTACCAAGCAAGGAAACTTGATGCAAGAATTGGCTCGAATGTCTGACTTCCACCTGCCGCAATATTAAGCATATTCTCAATTACTATCATCGTGTTCATTCCTGTGTATGATCACACTATTAAGCAGGAATTAGTTTACCATGGGTTTAACAATGCTTATGACATCAACATCAAATTGAAGGAAATGGGTGCAAAAGCAAAAAGTATACAACAAAATGATACAGAGGTGCATTTGAAAACTTTTGCTGAATTACTTTATCAGAATTTATGTAAGGCTTTATGGAGTATCTTTCCACATCTTTGAAATCCGTTCCGTACATTCCTGACGACAATCAGCAGAAGAGGTTCTTGAAACCTAATTATGAACCCCTTACAGAAATGATTCTAATCGAAAAAACTTAAGAGACAAAAAAGATTGGCACTTTAGTGAGAAACAAATCAAATCGTTACAAAATATTTGTATGTGATGCTTATAAATAGCATTGCAGGAAACCTTAAGCTGTTCCACAAATGCCTGGAGTTCATTTCCCACTCATTAATCTTCCTTCAGTCCATAATTTCAAACATAGCCAGTACATGATTCAATTGAGGAAACAAAAACAAAACTAATAATCAAATCAAGGCATCTTGAAATTGCCAGCAAGAAAGAAGACTAAAAAGGAAGATATCTAGACCAAGGAAACAGCGTAGTAGGGAAGCTTATAAAATAAAGAAATATTTTGAATAGAACCGCTATGGGATAATGCAAACAAAATCCAAGCGCAAAAACATCTCTCTTCAAATTGTCTTATTCTCAGATCTTACCTTAAGAGTAAGGGACACAAGAAGGCTGGCAAGATGCGAAAGATGTGGTCTTTCGGCGACAGAGAATTGTGAAGAGGTCATGAAGGTCGTGGTCTTTCTCGTTCACAAGGAGGTTGCTCTCGGAGCTATGGCACGATTTTTTCACGGTAAGAAATGATTGAAGGTAGCGAACCAAAGGGTAAAGCAGGAAAAAAAATAAACACAATGCGAGACAAGAACCTTCAGGTACGGTCACATTTTAATAAAATCCATGCCGCGGTTAGAACTGCGGTCCACCCGAACACACGATTTAAACGCATTATTACCCAACTTGATTTATAACTCGGTCTTGAACACTGAAACAAATGTCCCCTAATCCCCTTCAAGAAAATGCCTCATCTTCCTCCTAATCGCCTTGAACATGAAACCTTGTGGAAGCTATGAAAGAATATGATTAAAAAAAAAACAATGTATCATCAAAAAATAGGTTGATCGAATAGCAAATTCCCAAGGATGAAAGTGTTGGTATGATTCCATCTAGTAGGGCTTAATATACCACAGTTTTTGTAGTTACATGCTCTGTAAACTTGGAATTTTTGTATTGCTTGAACCATTTGATAAGGTGGAGAAATGTTATCAACATATCTTGAAAAATGCAAGATATGATAGTCGTTTTATATATTAAATATAAAATATTCTTTGTATACTATTCAATAAATTTTCTTGAATAAACTTATATCAACTTTACAAATTACAGCTTTACAAATTACAATATCAAATGTACGAGAAGATTTAAGGTTTCAACAAATGAAGTATATTATTATTCACAAACCAAAATCCAAATGCCTAGGCAAAGACATTATCTAAAAAACAAAATTTTATCCATTCTAAAAACTATATTAGACTTTCTCCTGATATTTATTTTTCTAGCATATCCAATTGCTTACTGGAGCAATTACACTTGTCCTTCCCTTTTTTGAAATCCACTTATTACTTTAAAATACAAAAAAATCAAGTGACTTGGATGTTGACGAAGCCGACTTATTAAAGTCCCAAAACATTTGTCTAACAAATCCCAATTTTATTGTTTGATGTGGTATTTTTGTCTTGACCATGTCAAATTGGATTGAGACAAGTAGCAACCAGTTTTTGTCATGCTGATTTTTTTTTAAGTAAATATGCACAATTAGCACACAATTCTTACGCATTTACATATCTTACACCTAAACTTTCATATTTACATACGTTCGGTACTTTAAACATTTGGATGAAAAGGTGTATTTCACTTTTAAAAGTGGCAATAGTGCTATGTTTTATATGATATTACAGATTTAAGTGCTATGTGTGTAAAAATGAAAGTTTAGATGTGGGATATGTAAATACATAAGAATTGTGCTATGTATGCAAATGTTCACTTTTTAAGGAAAATAAATACCGCAAGTGATACTAGAGTTAACCCAAACTATAATGAAAACACAAATATTATTGCTGAAATTCAAATAGGTTATAATGACGACTCCTCAACATAAACAATACAAAAATGCAAACAGAAAGGATAACGACGACACTGCAAAAAATAAGAAAGGAAGTAACACAACACATAAATTTGTCTCTCTAGTGGAGAGTGGCAGGATCAGAAGGGAGTGGCGATAGTGCTAGAAGATAATGGCCAACAAGTGGCAGGAGCGCGAGAAATGGTGGCGACAGGAAGAGGGTTAGAGGTCTAGTCGACACAGAGAAGGGCTAGGAGGCCTGTGTGATGGCCGGAAGGGGATTAGAGAGTGGCTGCGGTGGACCTGGATAGCATTAGGCATATGGTGGTGCGTCGGACGACAGTAGAAATAGATGTATAGAGGCTGGACAACTACTGGACGAGGTGAGGGTGGAATGGACCGCCACAGGAATAGGTGCTGGTGGGTTGGGCAGCAGCATAAACAAACCCTGGAGGGGTTGGCGGCAGCAATAACTGCCTAGAAGGGCTTGATGACAGTACGAAAGAACCCAAAGGCCTAGACAACGGTGGGAAGATGGTTAGAAGGTGGCTTGCGACTGCTGGAAGGGGACTAGAGGCTTGGACAATAGCAGGGAAGATGGTTTGTGGTTGCTAGAAGTGGGGCCAGAGGGCGTTGCAGAAGGCTAAATGCCTCGTCGGGGTCGAGCTACAGCCGGAGCACTATCTAGACCTTTGGAGACGGTCACCACCTCGGACGAGTTACAACCGGAGCACTTTCTCGTCGTCGGGTACATCCCTTGGAGGGGAAGAACACCTCAAAGGCATCAATTGAAATCAACAATCATAAAAAACCTTCCATACTCTAGGCAAACACAACATAACATATGACTAGGGATTCTTGTGGAAGTATATGTTTATAATTGCTGATTTGCACTGTTACTAAAAAAATGCCCTTGTTTTCTTGAATTCTATATTTACCCTATCTTTCTAACTCAAATAAGATGTTCTTCTTGTCCATTGTTCATGTATTTTTACCGGAGGTGAAATAACTCAAATAAGATGTTCTTCTTTTCCATTGTTCGTGTAATTTTACAAGAGGTGAAATAACACTAGGAAATGAGTCTATTGATTATAAGCTTCACTAGACTTTTAATTTCTCACTAATAGTGGTGTATATCTTGTTTCTTGCCATAGATTGTTAATGTTTTTTAAATCATTCAAGAGAGATGTATTACTAAATCTTAAGGTGTTTACCTCTAGATGTCTAATTTTTAAAGTTTTAGAATGCATTTTTGGGCTTGCCTATTGGTGGGGCAAGCTAAAATTTCTTCGACAAAGCCAAGGAGATGTTCTGCCCAAGGCAGATGCCTTAGGCACCCATGGTTTTACACTCCATAAGTGACACAACCACGCAATGTTATAATGCAAGTAAACATAAATTAAATGATTACAAAACACTAAAATTTATTTTTTCTCTTTATATATTAAGATGTCTCAATGTTATTTCTAGAGCTTGTAAAATATAAGGAAAATAAAACATAAGCTGATTCAAATATCCATCCGATCGCTCGTTGCTCCCTCAACAACTTACTTACCATTGCTCCCTCACTAATTTGCTTCCTTACAAAATCATTTTATCATTGTTTCACCCACACTTTCTCGTGCCATAATCTCACCATCTCTCTTGATAATTACTCCGACATTGATTTGTTCGCTTGATTAATCTTCCTCATTGACTTGCTCCGACATTGATTAATCTTCCTCATTGACTCACTCCTCTCCGACTTCTTTGAATTGCTTAATCTCCCCAACTCACCAACTTGTGCCACTCATCTTTGTTGCATGCAAACTCGCTAGTTCATTTATGGTCTCTCTTTTATTTAAGAAGCTGAAGGTTTTGACTCTGTCTGATCCTCTCAGTGGATCTCCAAAGCTTATTATTTGGCTTAAATACAAAGGGATTTAACATTTTTTTCTGATTCTTACAGTTTATATGGCATGATTCTAGGGTTTTGAGATCTTTGGGATTTGGATTGTATTTTGTTTTTCTTATATGGATATGTTTATAATATACTTTAGTTTATCCATCTCAACTAGGCGCTTGGCTCACAAATTATAAACAACAGTTTTATGTCTCTGTTATTATATTTTGGAGTTAGAATACAAATAAAATGATTACGAAGTTTGAAGTTTGTAATTTATGTAATTTCAATCATTTTTTAATTTATAAAATATATAAATTATAAAGTTTGCAGGGTTTACACCCCATCCCTTAATGGTAAGCTCCCTGCTTTGCCTCTTTTAGACCTTGATCGTTTTTAGATGCTGTCATCCATGACGTAATCCTTGCATGTTCTACTATAATCCAATTGATTCTTATACGCATTAGTTGAATAGATTGTCCTTGAATACAAATAAAATGATTACAAAGTTTGAATTTTGGAATTTATAAAGTTTGCTCTTACATTTAATTTTAATCATTTTTTTAATTTATAAAAATTTAAGTTATAGTGTTTGCCGACACCCTGCTTCTTAATGGTAAAACTCCTAGCTTTGCCTGTCTTTTAAATACTGATAATTTTTAGATTTTGTTATCTCTGATGTAATCCTTGCATGTTATGCCCTAATCCATATGATTGTTATATTAGTTGTCTAGATTGTCCTTGAAATTTTTAATTTTTTATGTTTGAAATCTACTTCATACTTTGTTTGATTTCTTCGGGAAACTTTTTTATTACTGTAAATATAGAGGTCATATTGTTAATTCCAGTAACTTTTCCATTTTCTAAATTAAATAGGATAATCATACAGCTGCTTAAGTTCATGTGTGCACCGTACATATTGCTTTATAGTAACCGGGGCGTTTTATTTTGATCCAAGCTTATCCTTATTCTCACCTGCAGTTTCCTTGGAAGGAGATATCAATTATGCCTGTCCAATGGCATGCCTTAGCTCTGGGTTTGTTTGCATCTATTATAGCACCATTTGGAGGATTCTTTGCCAGCGGTTTTAAAAGGGCTTTCAAACTAAAGGTTCTTTGTTCTTCAGTTAAAGATTAAAATTGTAAGAACTTGTAGTAAATTATGGAAAATGGTCTTTTTTGCTGAATTTGTATTCTTCTTCTCAGGATTTTGGTGATAGTATTCCAGGACATGGTGGCATCACAGATAGAATGGATTGTCAAGTAAGTGACTACAATTCAATGAACTTTTAGTTGACAATATTTATGACTACTTTGTTTGCTGTTTAGATTTCCTTTTTGCTTATTCTGAGCAGTGTAATTGAAACTTTCTTAATTGATTAGTGGTTTTTGCTACTAAGTAAATACATTGCCTTTATTCATTGCGGGTATAAATTCTTGAGTCCATTCATAGCTAGCTATACTGTGTATGTCTTATAGAGGGATGCACATAATTACCTATGTCAACACTAAGTCAAAGTTCTTATCGATTTAACCAGTTGGCTTCAAAGACTGGTTGTGAGCGGGTGTCTCGAGCTCCTGCTTAGAGATTGTTTAGAATTTGTTTTCTGTTATTTTGGGCTTTCTATTAGAAATGTTGCTCCGAGTTTGGTAAAATCTTCTCATCTCGTTATCTTTTTGAGAGGAGGACTTTGTATTTTTATGCTATTCATTTATTTTTATTTCATATATTTGGAAATGGATTTTTCTATTCCTTTTGACCCCCATTGATTTACGTTATTCTTAATCGAACCATGTAAATCTGGATATTTTTATTTGCATTGTTGTTTTGTTGTTCTTTATCATATTTGTGATTAGTGCTAATTTTTCTTTATCCTAGCATGATTCTTTTACAACTTTTCGCTCTCTCAAAGAGTAGTATTGATTTGGGTTGGGTCTTCTATTGCAACAAATTAGTATCAGACCTACTTGATTGTATTTAGGAAATGATGTCATGCAGTGTTTCAAAGTTCTATCAACGCTATTAAGCATGAGTTTGAGAAGTTTAATAGGAATAATAATTTCAGCTTTTACAAACGAAGATGGAAACTAGTTTTGTCTAAGGATTTGCTCAAGGCTTCAATGAGGAAGTATTTCCAATGCATAGAAATAAGAGAAGGATAAGAAAGCCCTGAACTGAATTATTCTCAGTTCGAGAGAGTTTTTTACAATGTAGCAAATTGGAGCACTATACAATATATATATATATATATATTGAAAAAAGCCCAAGGGCTAATATATTAAAGAAAAAAGATACAAATATATTGTATGAGTGGGCCTAAAAATAGGCACCCAACCCACACAGTACACTCCCACCCCACACAGTACAACAAATACAAAAAAGTTAAAAAGTAGTACATATAAAAATAAAAAAAACCCAAAACCACCAGGGTGCTGAAAAAGTGAGGGTCATCCCAATCTAGTCCTGCCTCTGGCTCTAGTTCTCGGAAGGGATTCAGCTAACAGATTGGTAAGGTGCGTACCATTACCCGAAGTAACCAAAGTATTATTCATAAGACTCTTGAGTTCAAGTAGATCTCCATTCTGTTATATATATATATATATATATATATATAAATGGTTGAAATCTATCTACATGATGATGCTATTTAATAATTATCTATTTTAAACATAATTTAATTCTTGCATGGAAGGTACATAATCAAAATAGAAATTGGATGCATACAATAAACATATGTTGTATCTAGTTTATAATGAAAATTGAAGAGGAAAATTAAGTTTTGATCTTAGGCTTTATCAATCTCTTATAAGCTCATCATTGTGTGTATTGCATTGGAAGGCACTATTTTTTATGGCAGAGTTGAACTTTACTTTCTATTAATGAGTTAAGAAGGTGCAAGTTCAAAGCCTAGTTGAAGGGTTGTTTGTAAGAACATGTAGAAACTTGGAGATGCCTGAAATTTAGATGAAGTTTTAGTTTGTTATGGAAAGTAATAAATTTAATGTTTTTTTAGTAGAAAGTTTGACTATAGGAATTCTATTAGATGTATTTTCTATATTAGGTTATCTAATTAGAGATCTAATTACGAGATCATTCCTTTATTAGAGATATTCCTAATCTATACCGATTGAAGTGTAGATAAATATATAATATATGGTTTGAATCGAGGAATAAGAAGGAAATAGCTCTTTTGCTTCACATGGTGTTAGAGCCACGCATGGCTTGTCACTTCTGCTCCTCGGTTTGGTGTCATTTTCTGCACTCATTATTCACATCATTCATTCAAATCGTTCGTTCGTTTCTGTCGTATGCATCGTCTGCTTATCTTTGTCTGTATCACTCGTTTGTTTCATTTGAATCGCTTGTCTGCTTTGCTTGAATCACTCGTTTGAATCCTGCGATAGGATTTGGGCATCATTCAAATCTTCGTTTGCTTCGTCTTCATTTTGCGATGTCGGTCGTTCAAATTTCATCATTCATCATGAGTGTTCATCTCCTGTGGCTACGTTCATCGTGCTTGGATGTATTTGATGATTGTTGAACTATTTTTCGGGGCGTTTGTATCTTACGGCTCGATATTGTTCCTCACAAACTTTCGTCTCGCTCTTTCGGTTGGTCCGTGCTATTGAATTAAGGAGTCCATTGGGATTACTGATTCAATTACCTTGAATATTTGGTGATAATCATGGTTGTTGAATAAAAACATGTGACAAGTTTAGTTTCATTAATGGCTAAAATTACTGATTAAAAGTTAATGACGTCCATTATTTTTGTTAGAATAAAACTTTGAGACTTTACTTGAGAACTGTTTCTTAAGAGAGTCATCTCATTGATAATTCCCCAACTGAGACTGATCTAAATTATTCTTAGTGGATGATAGTTGATGCCCAACTCTTGATATAAATGGCGAACTCTATGGAACCTGATCAATTTAGTCATATTACTCGTTTTGACTATTAATGGTGTGATGGAGAAATTGACATTTATGCATTCTGGCAGAAAATATTTCTCGAATATTTAATGTATGCAAGGAGTTTTATCAAGTTGGACAACATGATCAGTCACTTAACGCTTATCTTATGCACTTTAAATATGTTATGAAGAATTGAGTGCACTACTACCCTTTACTACTGATTTATGGATTCAATAGGCTCAAAGAGAATAAATGACTATTATGAATTTTCTAGCTGACCTCAACTGTCATATGAAGGTGTCAAATGACATATCCTATCTGACTCGGGAGTTACTACTTTGAGAAAAGTCTATACTAGTGTGCTGCATACTATTCCGAGTTCTCAGACTTCATTTGTGCAAAAATCTAATGCTCTTGCTAGCCAGAAAAATACAAACATCAGTAAACCTTAGCCTCAAGGAAATTATGGAAGCGAAACTTCATTTTTTGGAAATCAAGACTAGAGGGTATACTATTACTTCCATGAACCTGGTCATACGAAGAGAACATGCCAATGTTGTTAAAAAAGAATTAGAAGCATTCTAAATCACAGCCAGCTAACATGGTCACTACTAATGAGGCCTCTTAGAGTCAAGTTTTCTATGCGGATGACTATGCTAAATTCATCAAATTTCAGGAAGCATTCAAGAAATTTTTCTCTATCACTGCCCTTGCTTGTCAGGTAACAATGATATTTGTCTTCTCTTCTCTTTCACACAATGGTTTAGTAGTTATGGTACTACGGATCATATGCAAGTAATCCAAAACTCTTTTTCACCTTTCATAAACATCTTTCTTTCGTCATCCTAACAAATGAATCTATCTCTAATATTTTTGGGTTTAGCCCCATCAACGCAATACTTACATTACCTTCAATTTATGTCCATACTTCATCTCAATTTTTTTTAATCTTATCTCTATTAGCAAAATTATAAGTGTTGTTAATTGTTGTATCTTATTCTTTCCTGACCATTACCTGTTTCAGAATCTTTTGACGAAGTAGAATATTGATAAATGACGAAATTTGGGGATTTACATTTTGAATAACAAACTATCTTGATCCATAGTCTGTTCTAACACCTTATCTTCTTTTCAGGTCTATTATCAATTAAAGCATTCATCACTACCAACGTTAAAAAGTTATACCTAAAGTTTCAACAATTATTATCTTTAGATTGAGTCGTGTCAATTAGCGAAATATTATCTTTTGTGTTTTGTTCTCAAAATTAATTAAAGAGTTAGTTATAATTTTGAGTTGGTTCATTCTAATGTTCGGGGACCTTATCTAGCTTTATCTAATGTATTTCAATATTTTGTCACTTTTTTGGATGATTTTTCTTGTATGACTTTGCTCTATTTTAAATCTCGTATCGAGTTACTGTCACATTTTTCAATTCTTTTGTGCCAAAATTAAAACCCAGTTTAATGTTTCGGTTTTGAAAGGTGATGATGTCAAATAATATTTTTATGCACCTTTTCAGGCATACATGTAGAAAACAGGATGCTTTACTAGTCATCTATGTCGATACTCCATCCTAAAATGGATTAACTGAAAGAAAAAAAACATATATCTTCTTGTGATGGCTAGAGCTCTTTTGTTTGAAACAAATGTGCTTAAACGGTTCTGTGTTGATGTAGTTTCTACTACAATTTTTTTAATCATTTGGATGCCTTCTACTATTTTATAAAATCAAACTACCTACCATGTTTTATTTCCAACTCTCTTTCCTATTAAATCATGAATTTTTGAGTGTGCTTGTTTTATTCGTGATACTCGTCCATAAATTTCTAAGTTAGACCTTCTGTTATTAAGGCATGTCTTTCTAGGATATTCTCGTTTGTAAAAAATAAAAAAAATAATAATTGTTTTTCCTTCTTAGACAAGTATATGGGTTATGCTGATGTTACCTTTCATGAATATATCTCATTCCTTGGTGACTCGTCATTGCCTAAATCCTCACAAGATTTCAAGGAATTTTTAAATATGACTTCTTCCTCTAGCTCCGCCCCCACCACAAGATTTTGAGGAATTGGCGACTCTTCGTTGCCTTGTTTAGATCTTGCTCCAACTCCAACTCTACTACCAACACCTCATCCTAGACCACTTATCACTAATGCTTACTCTTGAAGACCTCGTCCTCATGATCCTTGTCTGACACCGGTATCTTCTTCAATGTATCCTCCTCCTATTGACCTTCAGTCACCTATTGCTCTTCGAAGAGGTAAACATCAATGTGCCTATCCAATTTTCTCGTGTTAACTACAATCAATAATCTTCTACTTTGTGTTTGCTTATTACATCTCTTGACT